GCATGCCTGGGCGGTGAATCCTGTGCACATCGGATTGAGGAATTGGAGGCCGAGTTGCACGCGTTGACGCGGGATTTGTCGGCCAAAGAATTACAGTTAGCCGCACTGAAAGACAGTCGCGCATCCTCATTTCATGTGAACAGTCCAAACAGCGCGGTGTCCGGTGGGGCCGTTCAGCGTATCCCCAGTGGATTCAAATCAGTGGACCCGGTTAAAAATAGCGGAGGCGAATCGGGTCATTCGGCCCGTCGTGCGCATCCAGATTCGGGGACCGTGTCCAAGGCGAATAAAGAATTAATGACTCGATTGAGCAGTCTACAGGAAGAAAATCAGCGATTGGCCGACACGTTGAAAGAGGAAGATAAAATGAAACAAGAATTGATGACGGCATATCATTCGTCCTTGAAAGAAATCACGGAATTGAATGGTTAGTCTTTCTTTAATCCAGGTATTTTCTTTAAATTCAACTGAATCATCAGCTGTTCCTTACTCTCGCTTACGCCCACCATCTGGAACTACCGTTTCGTAATTCGTATTCACACCCATATCGGTCACGCACGGTTAAAGCGGATTACATACTTAACTCTCAAACAACTTCATGATATCCCTATTCGATTAAATTGCGAGCTCAGCTGAATATATTTGTTTTCGTGGTGTTTTTTACAAATAAAGCGCATGAGTTCAGCAAAAACCTCATTCAAAAGCTGAATACTGAGTTGTCTGGATTTTAATCCTTACTTCCCATTGCTACTGCTACGTGCTTCTTACATCGAGAAGAACTACTGCAATGTAAAAGCAGTTGGGAACTCCAGCCGCGCCGGGTGGCTACAAAATCACCGGCTACCAAAAGTTAGTTGGATTACTACGATAGAAGCAACACGACATCGGTCGGCTAACTAATTCGATCGCTTGATTTATTGGGAAAATGCATGATTCCGTGTTAGCATGTCCATTGAGCATTTGGATGCATGTTACACACTTTGACTTGAATATGCCTCAACCCCTTCCTACCCTACACTGTTCTGAAGGTCCACCTGCTTGGTTGAAATTCCATGGAAACGCAGGGTAAACACGGCCTTCAATTCGTTCAGTAAAAAGGAAATCCCCCATTTGTTTGTTTCTATTCCTTTATGTATCACGTGCTTTCTCGAGATCCCGCCTGTTCTTGAGTATCGGTACTAGACAGACCGACCATCAGTAAAAATGAAATCGCGTGAATCGCTTCGTGTATTTGGTCCGTTGATTTTGTACAATCACACTGTGGACACGCTATATTCATTTCGTTACTTTGCGAAAAGAGTGCTGACTGGAGAATCACCTCACCCATAATAGTTCTCTATCCTGCAATCGCGACAACCAGTCCTACTAAGTAGGGTAGCGACCTGGATCCAGGTATTCAACCAACTATTATGTGGTAGTGTTGGTCTGCACGGATTTGAATAGGAACAGCCTCTTACAAGCAGGCCCCCGGAGGCAATGACCGAATCGCCGAGGGTGGCAACTTTGACAACTTTAGTTCACGAACAGTTGTAAATTCAGCACACAGTATAATCCCCGTATCTTTTGATGCGACCGAGTCGAATAGATTGTGCCTAGTGAATTAATCCTTCATAATGTGACCTCACTGGCAATTCCGGTTTTTGATTAGTCAGTATGAGGTCTTTCCTTATTCACAGAACTATC